TTAGCACAATTAAATGTTCTGGGATTCCCATTCTTCTCAGAGTCAGCCACAGTTTGTTATGATCCACACAGTCAAATGCCTTTACAATCCTGAAATATACTTTTCTTAATTTTAAACCATGTAATGTTTTTTGCTCTGTTCACATAATAGCTTCTTTATATAGATAGGGGTTTCGAATTAGCATGATTAAGTGTTCTAGGATTCCCATTCTTCTCAAGGTCAGCTATAGATTGTTATGATCCACATAGTCAAATATCTTTGCATAGTCAATAAAGCACAAATGGACATTCTCCTGGTATTCTTTGATTTCAACCAGGATCTATCTGACATGAACAATGAATGATATTCCTGGTGCCAAATCCCTTCTAAATACACTTGAACTTCTGACTGGTCTCTATGTACTGTTCTAACCATTTTTAAATGGTCTTCAGTATTTTACTTGCATGTGATATTAATAATATTGTTCAAAAACTTCCACCCTCTGTTGGATCACCTTTCTTGGGAGAGGGGACAACTAAAGATCTCTTCCACTCAGTCAGCCTGGCATAAGCTGGTAAACTCATCGAAGACTCCATCTGTCATTTGAAATTTTTACTTTTCTCACTGATTAATAGACTAATAGTCAAAATTCAAGGTGTTGTCTGTAGAAGAGAGTTTTGTGTGTGACTCTGGAGGAAGTTCCTTGTGTCTTTAGTCTTTTGCTCCTGGGTGACTGACTTCATGATGTCTGACATTTCTTTTCCTTCATATGCTTCTCTGACTTTCTTGCTTTTTAAAAAAAAATATCTTAAGTGGATTTAATACACATCCCTATACTAATCCTATCTTATTAACATAACAAAGACAGCCCATTCCCAAATGGGGTTATAGCCACAGGCTTGGAGGTTAGCATTTACAACACATATTTTTGGACACATTTCAATACATAACAGTACCCTATGTAGCTTTTTTCATATTGCTAAGCTATTCACCACATGTATATTTCTTATATTTGCCCTGAGGGAACAGATGTAAAAGTTTAAGTGTCACTCCATAAAGACATCCATACAGGAACGTGGTTGGAGAATCAAATGCGTTATTTGGTGATACTATCAGTGGAGAATTGAAAGCAAAAGTAAAACAGCCCTTTTGTTACATAATGTGCAATTCCATGCTTTCTGATCATCCAAACAGTGGAGAACTAAGAGTTGTCTACATCAGATTGATACGTTAAAAACAAAAACAAAAAAACCCACAGCTGTCAAACTGACTTTCCTAGGAATGTATTTCCTTATTTAAATTGGCAGCTAGCAGGAAATGGTACAGACTGTATGCCCATTGTCGAGTGTCCTCAAGTCAGTTTCTACACATATTTACTTCATCTGATGAGGTGGAACTGCATCATGGGATTTTCTTGAGTGAAACCTTTTTGGGAACATATCACTAGTGCTTTCTCCCACAGTGCCACTGGATAGGACTGAACCATCCACCCACTGTCTGGCAGCTGAGTGCCTAACCATTGCTTCACCAGGACTGCTTGACTCTCTGTCTAGAACCTAGTGTTTGTTTGCCTGTAAATATTGCTGAAATGCCCAGAAAAACGTAAATATTTATGCTTTCACTTTTAGTAATTGGGAAAGAATCTTCTGTATGTCTAAATTTAAGAATGTGGTGATAAAGGGAGAAGGAAGAGGGAGGCAGAGAAATACCTAGCAGGAGATACTCTTTTGCAAAGATAGAAAAAGAAATAACAATGCAATTACTTCAATTTCCAGGTTCTTCAAGAAGCCAATCAGCAATACAAGTGTATTGATTCATATTACCACACACAAGACAACTCTTTACTCTTAGTCTTTCATAACCCAATGAATGAACAGCGACTACACTGTGAATACTGGGATGTTGCTCTCCACTCCAATGTTGGATTCAGGTAATCAACTTAGATATTGTTGTTTACTGTCAAATTGGAACTGTTTCATAGCTGACTTTTTCTGGCAGTGTTCAGAGGCTGTACATTATACTGCAGGAGATTATCCATGTGTCTTTGGGATGGCAGTGCACCTCCTTCCCATTAGGCCACCAGAAGTCTCTAACCAACTTAGATGGTCCAGTTAGGTTGTTTACTTAGCTTCATACTTCTTAGCTTAGTTTTTAGATCTTTAGCCTAAAATAGGTTATTCAACTCAATGAGAATATTCTTTTGAAGGGTTGCTTCTTTATAGTATAAGTATGTAAGGAAAACTATTTTTCAAATATTACCTTAGCAATACCTCTAAAAATCTGATTGAGGCGCTCCTGTGGCATAGTCCCTATGGTGCTGCACCGGGAACAAAAAAATCTGATTAATAGTTTATTACCTTTCATTTTGTTTTATTTTTATTATTTGTGTGTGTGTGTGCCGTCAAATCGAATCCAACTAGTACAGGAGGAGATTTTTCCAGCAGAGCATCTGGTGCATTACCTTTGATTTCTAACAAATGATTATTATCTCTGATATGACCTATGAGTTATATTAAAATAGGAGATTTCAATTTCTCTGATTCTCGCTATGAGTTACGTTACTTGTAGCTGGGATTTTTTTTTATAATTGTTTTTATTATTATTATTCATTTCAGTGAACATTTACAGAGATTGTGGACTTCCATTCATTCATTGTTGCATTTTTCTCCCCACCCATCCCACCTCAACCCCAGTTTGCTTTTCTTTAAAAGCAAAAGAAAAATTCCATCATTGGTACACAATACCCCCGCACCCTCCCACCCTCACCCCAAGTATACTCCACTCTGCAACCCTCATTCCAAACTCTTATGATAATCATAATGCCCTAAAATATATTATTTTTAAACTGTTCTCTCCCTCATCAGCTTCAATGCAGTAAACATAATTTATCCAGTTTTTCTCAGACTTACCCCCACCCTGATGTCAGCCTCATTCTACAACAGTGGCACCATGGAGTATTTGTCCTTTTGTGACTGAGATATTTCACTCACCATAATGTCCTCCAGGATCACCCATTTTGAATAATATTGCATGAGTTCATTGTTTTTCAATGCAACGTAGTATTCCATTGTGTGAATATACCACAGCTTCTCTATCCATTTGTTTGTTAATGGGGACTTAGGTTGTTTCCAATTCCTTGCTATTGCGAACAAAGCCACAAAAAAACATGGGTGTGCATATATCTGCGTGGATGTCGATTATGGTCTCTTTAGGGTATATTCCCAGTAGTGGAATTGCTGGGTCAAATGGTATCTTTATTTGCAACTTTTTGAGAAAGTGCCATACTGCC